CTATTTATATATATATTGTAGACTAACAATTATGCATACATACATACAGACGTTTCAACCTTTTCACATCAAGTCCTCTTCAGTGTAATAAAATTATCGCTACTATTTTTTACATTTCAAAATCTTCGTAAAATCATCGAGATTTTCCTATACTTCGAACATCATCTTCTAATTATTCTGTATCTAAAAATATTAAGGCAGAGATATTCAAAACAACAGTTCATGTTTTATTCTGGCACATATTGACATGAAATATTAAATATCTCATAAATTATTAATTTGTTGATAATTAAATGTTAATACTTTTATGAACAGAATAATGAGATGAATCAATTAATGTAAAGAAAACACAGTTATTTTAAAAGAAACATGTAAGCAAAATGGATAATTTTTTTAAATAAGCAACTATGTGTTTTCGTTACATCAACTGTTTTATGTCATTATTCTATTCATAAAACTTATTAAAGTACGATTGTAAAAAAATTGACAGTTTACATAATATTTAATACTTCATATCAATATGTGCCCCCAATAAAGTATAAAATATCTAGTAAATTATTGGTTTTTTTTCTATTTTTATGTGCAATATAATTAGAGGAATTATATTACGTAACAAAAATCATATAATTCCATTCAAAAAAGATGAAGATAATTTTCATATCTTTCTAAGCCACTGGAAAAAAAATTAACTAAAATATCTATCACGAAATTATTTCATTTTTATCTGAAACATTTTTCTGTAAAATGCACTATTCAAAAAATATTGGAGGTCGTCATTAAAAATGGGACAACCTATATACAGAATGAGCATTAAGTAGTCTAGAAATTTTAAAGGATGATTCCTCACACAAATTCAAAAAGAAAATTTTATATGACCATATATGTGAAACTTTATATGTTTAAAATTTCATTAAAATAACCCGAGTAGTTTCGAAATTAAAGAAAAAAAAACAAAACTTTTTCTTCTAATTTCATATTCTATATCTTTGAAACTAAGTCGTTTCGGACCTAATCATATAAAGTTTTCATCTTGAATTTGTGTAAGGAATCGCTCCTTAAAACCTTTTAGGTCCGATTTGCATTAACATTACTTTAATTTTAAGCATGGCTTAACACTCTCTCCCTTTCTGTCTCTCTATCGGCTTTTAAAAAAGAAAGAGATTTTTAAGCTTCACCTAAAGTTTAAATAACATTGATGCAATCAGACCTTAAACCTATACTCATAATCCTCTTATTTTAAGACTGTCTTAAATAATATCTTAAGATGCTAATGCGGCCCTCTAATTGGCTTGACATCTTAATATTATACTTAAGACAATCTTAAGGCTATAACAGAAAGACTAAGTTATAAATCTTAAAGACAGTGTGTTATGACTTAAATCTTAGTAACCTCAGATCTACAATAGTTTTAAGCCTTAAGCCGTAAGAAATGAACGAATCATAGTCAATTATTCTTTTCAAATTCGACTGTAATTGGTCAATTTCTTATGACTTAAGGCTTAAAACATCTATTGTAGATCCAGAACTAACGCACAAGAACTGTCTTTATGAAGATTTATGTTTTCTAAAAGCACTTCGTATTTATTCATCTTTAAGACATAAGTCATAAGATAGTTCGTGTATTACTAAAGACATAAGATTTAAGTCATAATACATTGTCTTAAGATTATAAGTCAGTTTTCTGCTAAGGCCCTTAAATATAAAAATCAACTATGAATACTAACTTTAGGCCAGTATTCATAGATCCAAGACCGTCTTAAGTACAATCTTAAAAAGTCATAAACCAATCAGAAGGCCGTATTAGCGTCTTGAGACATTACTTAAGACAGTCTTGAAAAATAAGAACGGACTATAAATACTGCCCTATGAATAACACCCTTAGTATCCATCTTGTACAAATATATAAAATATTAGTAAATTCTTATTTTTGTAACATAATATTCATATAATAATGCTTATAGCAGTATAAAATCAAATGTGTTACATCAAGTCATAGAAATAAAATACAAGTAAAATTACAAGTAAAATTATCTAATACTTTTTCAATCCAATTAATTTAGAACATATAATAAACATATAACCTCTCCCATATGTGTGAGCATGTGCTTTTGAGAGTATTCATTTCTTACCTACTTTTTCTTTTTTTTTCTCATTAATGACATTTCCATTAAAAAAGATATATTATTTTTTAGATAAACACAAATTTAAAATTATTAAGCTGCAAATCAATCTTCAAAAGAAAAATATTTTTGTTAGTAATGCTATATATTATTATGTATATGCTCAGGATGTTAAATGTGCGAATATATAAATAAAAAGATTATAAAATTTACATAAATTATACACTTGAACTGAAACAACACAATGATCTTTCTTAACAATAATAAACATATTTTTTAAATACTAATTATAATTACTCAAATATAGCTACAAAAAGTAATTACATTGAAATCATTAAACTTTGTAATTACATACTAAAAATCGAAGAAATATATTCATACAGATATTCAGAAGATATTAACGACAAAATGACGGATTTCATGTTTGTAATTGTAGATTTCAACGGCGTCTTTTACCTTAGATTTTGTTACGACGTGGGTGGCCATTTTTACTACGGCAAAATTTCCTTTACCAATAGTTTTTTCCAGCTCGTAATAACCGACACGAATAAGTTTGTTGACAGAAAATTCCTGGGAAACCTCATTGTGCGACATCGGCGCGGATGCCATTTTTTGATCACTTCTCTCACTCGATCTTGACTCGTTGCCAGTTGCAATACTAGTTAGTACAAAGTTATATCGACAGAGGAATTATAATCGTCTTTTAATATCGCCATCTAGGACTAGTCGCACCAATTCCGACTAACGTGATCGACTGACTTGGCTAGTTTACATCATGCGCTTGATATGAGTAAATCTGTGCGCAATAAGACAAATATTAAGGCTACATTCCAAAATTTTCCGAGAAAGATTTTATTCTATATGCTATATAGTAGGTGCGTTTGGCATTGCATATCGGAGGTATCTGTTTGCTCTTTTACCTCAAAAATCATTCGGCAACTCGCATCTTTCTACTATATGTCATCTCGGGGTCGATTGTATATCTCGAAATGAGATGAAAATTACAAAAGTGAGCAAATTTACTAGAATATTCATAATTTAATTGGTCAATAACTAATGAATTTGCTTTTATAATTTTCACTTTATTTCAAAATATACAATCAACCCCCTCACCTGCGTTCGTATTAACATTTCTAGAGCCAATCGAGCTGCTCGATCCACTCCGGATTCAAAGCTCGCAGAGCTAATACAGATTTTCGCGCCTAAATTAAATTCATACCTCTATGAAAATGTATTCAACTGACTCGTTAACACATAACATACATTAATTTCTTTTAATACTTTTATTTTACAAATAGTGCATTTGAATTGTTATAATATCTGAATCTATTAGGTTGTTCGAAAAGTAATTTCGTTTTTTCCCAACAGAGGACTTATTGTATTTTTTCACAGTCAACTTCACACTTAAGCCGCATAATCATTATATATTTTGACAGCTGATATAGCAAGGCTTGCTTGTGAAAAAAGTTCGATTGATTCTACGCAGTAGTTTTTGGTTGGTGCCCTATCAAATATGAAAGTGAAAAGCAGCATTTTCGGAATATTTTACTTTTTTACTATCGAAAAGGTAAAAATGCTGTTCGAGCAAGAAAAAAATTATCCGATGTGTATGGAGAAGATGTATTGACAGAACGCCAGTGCCAAAACTGGTTTGCAAAATTTCGATCCGGCAATTTTGATGTTGAAGATGCACTACGTTCTGGAAGGCCAGTTGAAGCTGATGAAGACACAATAAAGGCATTAATTGATGCAAACCGGCGAATAACAACTCGTGAGATCGCTGAGAGATTAAATTTATCGAATTCGACCGTTCATGATCATTTGAAACGCGTCTGATTGAAAATCGTCTTTCATTTTCATAAGAAAAAACGAAATTACTTTCCGAACAACCTTATACAAACGCTCAAACAAATGCTATCAAATAAAATTTGATAAAGTACATTATGTATAATATTTAACGAGGAAAGTAAGTTTTTAATTGTTTTCCTCTTTATGAATTTAAAGTTACGTATTTGAAAACAAAGAATTTGCTAATTAATTTTTAGATCAAAGCTTATGTTGCACATATAGAATGAAATAAAATCAAACTATATTAATATATTAAAAACTCTAACAAAAATTAATCGAGTAATATAACTTATAAATTGCTGAAATTTATTTTGCAATGTAGTATTTTCTTTTAAGGAAACACACTTTGCACATGAATCTGGTACATTCATGTGTAATGATCTATTTTTAGCATATAAGACTATATGCAGTTTCTAGTAAAGCGAAATAAATTTTCAATTAATAGGATATTTTTTATTTATTTATAAAAATAAACAATTTCATTTTATAACCTTAAAGGACAGTTTACAGCTCTGCAATATTCGGAATTAATTCTTGGCACTCGGATTGCTCGAAGATAATATGTTCAAGCTCGCCAATCTGCTCGTATCTCAAATTTATATTGCCGAACGCATCTAGTATACGTTACGTGTACAATCAGGGACAAAAAAGTTGCAACATTATTTTTTCGATGTATTTTGGAACGCAGCTTGCTCACTGAGTAATTGACTTATGGCGTTTTCGGCCCGACCGAGTTTGCACCAACCTGGATTAATGTAATGATGTTTCGTGCTCTCCTATTGGTAGAGCGTGTAACGTCAACCAATAGCGAAACATTTTTCAACCTAAGTTGATGCAAACCTGATCGGAAACGCTATTAGTTTACATCGTGCACTTGATACAGGTATTAGCTAATAACTTTCTATTAAATTATCTTAATGTTGACGATACGTGTAAATATATATATGATATATGTGTATTTAATTCATTATTTTGATGCATATTGTATCAATTTAGTACATCATTCTTTGAATACATCACTGAAATAATTTAATAAAAAGTTACTAAATAATACGTGTCAAGCGCATGTAAACTAGACCATTGGTTCTTATTCATCAATCGACAAATAAGAACTAATCGTTCGGTGAGTAGTCTGTATTCTGAAACGTATCGAAGAAAGTGTTGCAACCTTTTAGTCTATGATATCAATCATGAAACTGTATTCCTAGGATAAAAAGTAAAAAGTGAAAATTTTTACCATTAAAGTTAATGGAGAAAATTTTCACTTTTCACTTTTCATTCTAAGGAAAAAAGTTTCATGATTGATACTTATAACATAATATACATTTCGAGTAAATTTTCCTCGGAGAGGAAGTTTTGGAACGTAACCTAAAAACAGGAATAAAAATTAAGATTTTAACCTATCATGATATTAAATATTAGTTACATCCAAATATGCAGTTTTTGGTAGGTTGAAATCTTAATATTTATTTCTTTTCCTAATATTTCCTCCATTGTGCGCAAGACCGTAGAGTCCTAAACCGATATTCATATGCCTAGGCACCTATCAGGGTGCCGTCGCATATACACGGAATCGGAACGACGGAGTGGATTTCTTACTAGAAATCAGTTCATTAGCATTCCGATCCGTAAGAAGTTTCTCTATTGTATCGGAACCATCGGAATCATGGCAGCTGTAGAAATAATACGAAATCAATAGAATATCATGTCGATTGCAGACTATGTCGATCTAGACTATGTCGATCTCTATTGCAAATGGTTGAGAATTTGACAACTTCGAAGAAGAAAATTAATAATAATCCTTATTTTTCAATATGATATGCTTTTGTTTTATATATACGTAATCCAATTAATGCCAGTAGTTCTTCAAATAATTCCTATGTCATTCTGAAGTAATTGAAGAACTTCTCACGATCGTTCGTTAACATGACTAAATTGTCATTTGCGCCTTGGAAACGCCTCATTCTTTGTGAAAACTTGACTGCGTCCAGAATTTTTGTTTTCTTGTATATTTGTGCTGTTGTAATAAAACGTTATAAACAAAATAAAATTTTCGCATACTCTTAAATATCGGAATAGCACACCAACACTTGACACATTTCTTGTTTTTCGCAATAATTTTTGTTGAGTCAGCTTAGTGTGCTTGTATGAGTAATGTAAGAGCGCTATCGATGTTCAACGAAAAGGCCCGAGTGTCTCCGTGGCATGTCTCGACTGTTTTTGTTATTCGGGTCGACCGTCGCGTTGCCATGTCACTCTAACTAAACAAACAAGTTAGACTCTCGCATCGTTGCCATGCGAGTCAGTCTCGTCTCGTCTGTCCATCAATAAAGAACTATTTTTCTTCTCTCAAAAGCAAATTGAATTTAATAACCGATTCAAGCCTCAACAGGTTATGGGCCCAGATACGATTCCAGTGCGTTCAATTTGCTAAGTATAAAGAAATAAAAATGCCAGACGTATTTTCTGTGGGGCACGTGCCAAAATTTGATGGAACAAATTTCCTCGGATGGAAATTCCAGATGGAAGCGGCTTTGAGAGCTTGTGGTATTTACGAAATCGTAGACGGTACAAACGTAAGACCTGCAGCAGCTGAAGAGGAGCGTGTGAAGGCGTGGGTGAAAGACAACGCAAAAGCGATGTTCATCATTTCGAGAGCAATGGAGTACAAAGAACTAGAAAGTTTACTAGTATGTACCACCGGCAAGGAAATGTGGGATACACTCGCAAGAATTCACCAGCAAAATTCAGCAGCGAACAAGCTCGTATTAATGAAACGGTTCCATGAATATCGAATGGGAGCGACGGATTCGGCTGTTCAGCATGTAGCAAAAGTACAGAATTTGGCGATACAGTTACGTGATCTCGGAGAAAAAGTGTCCGACTTGACAATCATGGCGAAAATACTATCGAGTTTAACCTCAAAATTTAGCGTCCTGCAGACAGCGTGGGACAGTGTCGATCCTGATCGACAAACTGTAGAATATCTGCAAGAACGACTTATCACCGAGGAAAGTCGTTTGGTAGCTGAAAAAGAAGAAAGTACGGCATTTTCAGCGATGCGGATCAGCGAGAGGGCTGGCAGTTCAAAACACAAAGGAGACTCGAAAGGAAGAAATGAGGTAAACAAAAGATGTGAGAAGAAAAAAAGGGACGTCGAGTGCTATCGTTGTCAAGAGAAGGGGCATTACGCACGTGATTGCCCGACGCGAAAACAAGGAAAAACTGCCAGGGACGAAAGTGAGACGCGAGGAAGCGTGTTTATCGTTGAAAGTTCGGGAAGTGTAAACAACAGTTCAAGAAACAGTCGGTTTGGTAAAATGCCTGAGAATGTCAAAAATCAATGGCTACAACTGGATAAGAAAGATATCTGGTATGTCGACAGTGGTGCTTCACGGCACATCACGTTTCGACGTGAATGGTTTACCGAGTTCCGTCCGCTCAGAGGCACAACGGTATCGGTCGGAGACGACGGCGTGTGCGAAGTGTCAGGCGAAGGAACTGTAATTATCGATAAGCTCGTCAACGGCGTGTGGCGCGAGGCGCGCATAGAAAATGTGCTCTATGTACCGAAAGTGCGCAACAACTTGTTTTCCGTCGGTGTATGTACTTCGAGAGGCTTCGAAGTGAGTTTTGCTAGTGAATATGTAGTGTTGACAGACAATAACAAAATCGTGGCGACTGGAGTCAAGCAGTCGAACGAAATCTTCCGAATGTTTTTCCGCGTGAAAAATGCACGAAGTGCAGGCGAAGTCAACGTGACCACGACGAATTTAAAGCTCTGGCACGAACGTTTAGGAC